TCATTATTCTTCAGAAAAATATCCTTGAGTTCGTTTGCAAACAGATCATAGGCTTGTTCATATATAGATCGGTAATAATCCTTGATGGTGCAGGATTGATCTATTGGAATTGCACCATCGCCAATATTTAACTTTTCTCCTAGACTTGGTAAAGTAATATTCAAAAGTTCCGCTTTATTAATGACTTTATTATAAAAGCTATCAAATAATTCTTCATTACGCTGATTTTCGTAAAATTCTATAGCAAGATTAACCGCCGAAAGTGCTTCCAATATGGAAATATTTTCTTGCTGTAATGCGGTAGACACGTATTCAGAAGTACGAAAAGCTATCATTCCTAATTCAAAGCCAAACAATGTTTCAAAATTTTCAAGGGAAGATAGAAGTGCGCCTGGCTCTATGCCGTAACGGTATTCGTAATAGTTAGTCTTACTTGATTTTCTCACCATCTCTATAATATCTTTATAGTCTTCTAATAACACTTCAATACCTTTGGCTTTTACCTTCCATCTTGTTGGACAAAGAGGTTTAATATCGGTTTTACTGCGCGTTACATTTAATAACGTTGTATTTAAATGATTGTGTTGTGTGCTTGAGAATTCTATAAATTTAGTAATAGCTCTTATAGTTTCTAGACATTGGTGCATTAACGATATCTTTCTAACTGATTCCTGAATGCATACATCTAAAGAGTGCATAAAACTTGGAACACAAATTGCCGCAGGATACTCAGATTTAATCTCAGATGCTATAGCGTCTTTTTTGCCATACATTTTAGCCACACCATCATACGCTTGCCCTCGACAATAAGAGATCGGAAGCCCACAACGAAGTAGAATATTCTTTAAAGTACTTGCAAGTGAATCTAAAGGACTATCCAGCAAATTAACTATTCCAATTGGATCTTCATGTATGATGTAATCATCATTCACCCATCGAATGGATACACAAAATTGTGCCCATTTGGCCAAACCAGTTGTTTCATCTACGACTATAGAATACCAAAGAGGAGTGTTGCATTCAATCCGACTAAGTAATGATCGCAATACAGCATGACCCATTATCGTAATTTGTTCATTTATGATGTCCAAGTTGGTGTATTGATCAGTTGAAAGCCAATCTTTAATATGATTATTTCTAGCTTCGCTTGCAAAAAGATTCAGTAGTTGCAATAAATTGCCGTCTGTTTTAATTTGACTTTGAATCGCGATATCTTGTCGTAGTAGATAACGAATTCCGTGAAACTGGGTAAGTAATCCATTTCTTCGAGAACCTTGTAATTTCATGGTTGGATAATCTAATTCCTTACTTTCACCAGCTTTATGAATGTCTTCCCATTTTACTTTCGCCATTGAATGAAATTTATTTTTGTTATGATCAGAAATTCGAGATAGAATCTTTTTAGGATGGATAAGTCCAGTTATCACAAATAGATCATCTGATAGTGAGCTAAACGTTAGTAATTTATGTCGTATTACATATCTGCAAAAGCAACAATATAGTTTTTTGCTGAGTACACAAACTGACAGCCAAGGATATCTTTTAAACCAAATCTTTGAGAATTTTTTTTTACCCATTAAGAGCTGATTGAGAATAACCTGATCAGTAGGTTGGACAGGACTATGATGATACAGGCAACACGGACAATGACAATTGGCCACATTCTGTGTTTTATTAATTTTGCTGGTACCGCCATCTGGTGAACCACTTGAAGAACCAACAATTTCGTCTAATTTGGTCCAATTCGATAAATCATGCAAGTTAGCGTTGTTTGTTCTTTCATTATCTGTTACTAGATCCTCTGATTGAGCAAATTCAACTCCATAGCAGTCGTAACTTTGATAATCTGCTATTTCTGTATTCTCATAAAAAATTTGCACCTCTTCAGTTGTTGACTCTCGAATTTCTTTCGCATCAGACATCAGCTTGCAAGATTGAAAGATCTCATAAGATGATTTAATGTTAGATATTTAAACTTGTTGTTCTTATTGCACCAGTTAAAATCAATTTGGATTAGCAATAGATTAGAGAAATTACAAAAGTCTTGATATTTTTGCTTATTCTTCAAGTTAAAAGATCGAGCTAAGTCGAACCGCTGCAGTACATTGATATTATAATTAGGGATGATTTAAAATTAATTAATTAAAACATCAAGAGCATGAGAATAACTATAATATGGCTAATCAACTTGAGATATTGCACTGAGATTATTATCGGTATAGCGTAAGTTAAGCATCTGCTTATGTACGTTATATTGTATCTTTTGCTGCTCAGCTTACATCAACTTCAGTTTATTATTTCCTTAATTGCATTATTTTAGTCCAGTGCAATTTGTTTCATTCTTTATTATTTATATTATATTAAATTAATTTAAATGTTACGTTATACAAATATGCTGTTTTGCATCCTTGCTGATTTATTACTACATTACATTCACAGCTAAATTCATCCGTAACTTCATTGCGAACACAATAATTGTGCAGAATGCTACGAATACATTGATTGTATACCGTTCTGATAAGAATTTTCAATCAACAAGTCATTAACATTAGTAACACATCCATTGATCTGACTACCAATGGTTACCTTAGACTTCTCATTTTTAAACTTGATAAATAGATCCTACATAAATCCACAAATTTGAAAAATTTGATGAGTAGACGTATTATTATTATACATGTATGGCTCAATTTGGTGACATGAAATTTATATTCTGTACGCATGTTTTAACGTATGTTAAAGTATCGGTAACAATTTAACTAGCTGGAAATTTATCAATTTTACTGAAGGGAGATAATCATAAGAGATAATTTCATTAGGTTCTTCTTAACACTTTTAATGCGAGCATAACATTCGCAAAAGATTTCAGATAGTATGAAATTCATTGAAAGGAGCTATATATAGCAATCACAACGAAAACAAGTCATATCGGTACTGAAAACGATAGGAATCAAGAATCGAAATTTAGAAAGCGGAAACATGCGGAGGTTATCATTGGTATTATAATCCTGGAAGGGAAATGTATGCTAGGGCTCTTTGGAACCTAGTATTAATACAATATTCGGAAGATATAATATGGGCATAATTTAAGTACGATAGAAGATAAAGGTATTAGCATGCTAACAGATAAAGTTTATGAGTCACTCTATAATAGCTGTTAAATAAATTCCAGATTCAGAAACGTTTTGCTGCTAATAGTGAATTGATTTAAGCAGAGAGTCAATAGTAAAAGCTTTCAGGTATACTGTAGGTCGTGCATATAAAGTCATTTAGCGATACCTGTAATAGTTCAAATTCGAATAGTAAATTGACATTACCCATTCTTTGATCTTTTCACGTAAGGAGCACTAACCAATAGTAGATACATCAAATTTTAATTTCTTGAATAGCCTTCGTAACTCCTTAATATTTAAGATTGATAAAATTGCCTTTAAATTTTATATTCAGAATCTTATGATGAAAGCTTAGTCCTCAATTTTGGAATGAAATTGGCTAAAAGTAATGCATCCGTACGCTGCAACAGATAGCAATATTCAGTACGCTCTCATTCCGTTTAATTTATTCTTTGATATGATGGCGGTGAGCTTTACATTCAAGACAATGACTAATATATTATAATAAGGAAAAATTGTCTAAAACGGAAGTTAAAATATCTGCCATTACTTATACTAATAAGAGCCTAGAAGTAGCTATAGAATTAAATATCAGGGAATATATGTTACGTGTAGCTTCTCTGAATGGGGGCTTGAATTATTTATCTGTATTAGATTTTATTTACGTATGTCAAACCATATATGACTGCTTATGCCATTTTCAAAATGCATTTTAATTAACTAGCATTTATGCTCTCTCTATTGCCAATAGATATGCGGTACTCAGCTATAACTGCTGATTTGCAGTTGTTGGAATTTTTCTCAAAGTTTGTTGTACTACTAGTTGGGTCACCTGATTTAAAACCCGTAAGAAGGCTTATTGTGATCTAATATTTTCGAGAATGTAAGCTGTAGGATTTTAGGGAAACAATTTAACTATACATGATATCCAGTATCAGGCGCATATCAAATTAGTACATGTAATGTATTATATTTATTTGTTAAAATTTTTAAGGCTTCATTATCAATTTGCATTATTGTTATTTAAACAAAAAAAATACTAATAATACTCAAGAATTAATTAAAACGTATAACATTGTATGTCGTATCTGATTATTATTTCGTTTAGGAACAAAGCTATATGCTATTTAGTTATTTTAATTCAATATGCTGTACTTTGATTACTTTACGATGCTATGAACAATAATATCAGGAGTATCGTAAATATTACGCTTATAAAATATTTCAAATATTAGACAGTTTATTACTTCTATATACTTTTCCTATAGCTGAAAACATAGGCATTAAATCAAGTCCCTCTTGTGTTTATACTGAGAACTGATTCCGTCAATCATTTAGAAATATTACCAGACTTTCCATTGAGCTAATGCGTATTACTATAAATAATCAAAACCGGCATAGTACAGTCAAATAATCTAGATTATATATAACAAAATTATGTTCGGTAATCGTACTCAGCTTATGATCTAAATTCGAGTTTTAGTTCAAACTACGATCTTATGCGTTTAGCAACAATCGGCAATCATAAAGTTACTAATTAATTATCCATCCTTAAAGAGAAAGCATCACTTATGCTAGAAGATAACAGATTAACTCCCTCCAAATACGGCCTTCAAATAGAAATGCATAATCCTTCCTAAGTTTTACCGTCATCAAAGACTACATTCAAATTATTACATTATCGAATTTAAAAAATTCTTTTATTGCTGAAGGCTTGAATTTCTTAAGAGAAGCTAGAAATAGTACGGTAGTCTTCTATAGCTTATACGGTGTATCTTACGTCTCCATTCGCATATAGTATATAATGTCATTAAATTTGCTAGCTTGCTATTAATCCATATCAACTAAAGGTACATCCTCATCCATATCTTGTCTTACATTTGCAAATATATGATTCCAACATTTTCTCAAAAAGCTTGAACTAACTTCATTCCAGCTATCACTCAGCCAGAATATCGCATCTTTAACGGTCAATTTTGACATAATTTTTAGTATAAGCTTCTTTTTTTCTGAACTTTTGTGAATGACATAATCATACAACTTAGTTTGATAATGGCTTTCTAACGATGTAAGAATTCCCTGATTCATTGGCTGTAAAGCAAAAGCAATATTCGACGGAATGCGTAAAACTATAAATTTTTCGCTATCTGAGATTGAGCTAGTGATGCAGTTATGTGCTGGAGTATCCCTTACAAGTAACAAAACCTTACTAGGAAAATTGTTTTCTTTGCAGAATCGTTTTACGCGTGGCTTAAATTGGTCGTTATACCAACTTTCATAGAGGCCATTACACATTCGCAGATCTTCATCGCGGTAGTAAGTCACCGGAAGCGTGAGGACTTGCTCTTCATCTAATGTTGAAGGCATACCATTTTTATCGACGACAGCTAACGGTAATTTGTAAGTACCAGATGCATTAGTGCACGCCAATAATGTTAATTTTGCTTTTGATCTTCTATAAATTTTAGGGTTATTCTTGTTAGTACATATACCCGTTGGGTTGGGACTAACGACCGTTTTCCAACGGAGAATTTTCTCATCTACGCTAAATATTTGTTGTTTACTAAAACTGTCACTCTTAATTATCTCTTGCACTTCTGTAATAAACCGATTTATTTCTTGGGTTTCTCTATACCATGAATTAGGCTGTAATGAACTCTCTATAATTCCATAGCGTCGACAAAATTTATTCAGCCATCCTCTACTAGCCATGAAAGGGCGTTGAGTACCATCAGCATAAGTAGATTTATATAGCTGTAAGGCTTTTTCCTTTAGGCTGGAGCCAGATACTGGCAAATTATTGTTATGTCGCAACTGATACCAACGATATAGAGGTTCTTCAATATCGCAGAAATCCCCCATCTTTAATGCACGTCGTGTTCTGCCACATGCAGGAATGGGATATTTTAATATGAGCCTCCTAAACTCATCTTTTCTTTTAGAAATAGAAAAAACTGTTGTTTTTCTCACTTTATACTTCTTTGCGATAGCTTCTTGTGATTTACCAGCTTCTAGGTCTTTTATAATTTGTATCTTTAATTCAATATGAATGAGAGCGCCTTTTTTCGGCATTTTTACCTCGTACCAAAATTATTATAACTAAGGTACTTTTATGTGCACTGGCATTTCTAAGATTTTTAAAGAAAATTTGAGACGTATTTCTAATTGAATGAAAACTTGCCTAATCTCAAATTTCAAATATCTAATAATGATTCTTTTCGCAGATGACGTAATTCAATACTAAAATTTTAAAATTCTATTATAGGCCAACAAAAAAGTCCCATCAATAAATTCTACTAGTCGAACGAATTTTCATCTTTTCGCAAAGACTTTCATATGATATCTGATGGTAGCTACTTTTTATAGAGAAGTTAATTAATTATCACAGCATAGTACTTAATTTGCGCAAGCAAGCCATACCTAATCATACTATGCAAGGTTTTTAATTACCTACGGACTGAACAATGGGGATTCTCTTGTCACTTGGGGCATGTAATCAATTGGATGATAATAATTGGCGATTAGTGATTTCTAAAGTAAACGTTTAGAGCTATAATCTATAAATTTTTCGAAAATTAAATATATTAGGTAGATGGTATTTAGAATTTAGCAAACTAATTTTAATTTTTTCAGACGCAAAATTAAAGTGATTCGAAACGACAGTAATGTAAACACCAATACAGACAACTTATAGTTAATTAGCTGGATTAAATGCACAACTTCAAGTCAGATACCTAAAATTGATGGAAAAATAGCTAAATTCGTCATGATGAGAGAAATTATAGGTCTGGGTAACTGATATAAGTAACCTTTGTGCATAATACGACGCTTTCTCAGTTGCTAATGCGATGCATTTGTATACATTAATTTGATGGTATAATTCTATCTTGTGTTTATTGCTTTTCACGTGCAATCATTGAAGTCAATTTTAATTATTAATGAAAATTAATTATATATTAGTGCTTATCGCCTTTTTTGTATAATAGGTTGCTATAATACTGACTTTATTACCAAAGTTCCATTAATTAGAAGCTTACTCGTATTGATAATAAAAACATTTTCATTTGATTTAAATATTCTGGGCTGGTATGAAATAGAAATTTGACTTATTTGATCTTTCCCGAAACATTCAAGTTAGATTAGGCATATTAGTCCAACCAATTTATCTTATTTCTTCTACGACAGTTATAGACTGACAGATACAGAACTAGTTTAGCTCCAATAAGCAAATGAATATACATTAAAAAGGATCTTTTTTAACAGTAAAATTACGATCATGGATTAAAAGAAAAATAATACGATCACTTAAAAGAAAAATTGTGAATAAAATACTATAAATAAGTGGAAATATACAATATTTCAAAAGAAAATGTAATTTCCTTATGCAAAATCAGAATTCCATACTTTCAAAACGGTAACTGACTAATTTTTAGATAGGCATTTTTACATCAGTTCAATAGAGCCAGCATTTTCGATTACATTGGCATAATATTCACTAAAATACGGACTATAACTATAACTAGCAATAGACATTTCAGGCCATTGCCTGCTAATAGGCCTTATTAAGCCAAAGAATAAATACTCAAATATACACCATCAAACAATTTGGCAGTATGCAAGTAATTGAGCGTTACAAAGTTTTATGCAATATTGTAAAAGATATTTATACAATCGATCAATATTTTCCTTGGTTGCATTAGTAAATTGAGATTTTAGATCTCACCATAGATTGTAATAGAAAGTACTTTGCTAAAATGACATGGCGATAGGAACATATATGATTTACAATTCTTTTTCTACCTTAAACCTTTTTAACAGCTCAACACCTTACTGCATATAGTCCTCTGTATTCTAGCATAGAGTCTATCCTTACAGTCTATAATTATGGTCTACTAAATGTATCATAGGATTAATATATAAAAGACGCTAATATACATAATACTAAACATGGCTAACAGTTTTTATCACAATACTAAGTTACTTTACAGAGGCATAGAACCTAAAAAAAGATTAGGTAAACTTTCAATAGACCTATTAAACAACTAATTTTTAATCTCTATAGGTGAATAAAGGTGAAGCCTGGTATTAAAAGGGATAATTCGAAAGACAGAATCTCATTTGTCGAAAACTTACTCTTATTCCTAATTTTTACTTGTTAAGCTTACAGTCTACGCTCACAATGCTAGAGTTTCTTATTGATAGAAAATCTTGAATCTAGTAGCCTCAGCAGCGCATATTAATAGAAATGTGTGATACCTTCTCAAAATTGTATAGGAATTCAATAGCTATAAGCGGAGCTGATGTAAGAAAATTTTTTTATTTAGATTTTATGTAGGTGCAAAATTGCATGCAGTATGGTACTTCTTTTACTGGAAAATTTATATAGGTATTCCGGTTATTCTTCGCACAAATAAAATAGATCTTAAAATATATTTAAATCTAAGTGCCGTAGTTACCTGCATTCTTAGTTTCCGTACTTCTTATCACTAAGGGGCAATGTTGTGCTCTCAAAAGCTTAGTCTAGCTAGGCTATGCGAAAACCTAGCTTCTTCTCACTGTTTTTCAGTTAAAATAGTCGTATTAGGTCTGGCTAGCTAAAATACCATAAGATTCTCGTATTTATCAGAATGTTATCTATAAAATAAGAGGCAGAATATATTACTTACGACACCAGTACAGATGCCAAAAGCTAGAAAATTTCATATTATCTTTTATCACAAGATTGGCCATAGCTTTAGGTACATTAAATTAATGTTCAATTTATTTATACTGAGGACTTGCGAATAGATTAAAGGCATCAATATTCTACGCTAGAAGATTAATTTTTTTCTTATATTCCAGCGTAAATTTACTAGATACGCTCTTAAGAGGGTATCCGCAAGCGTAGTGCAAGTAATGTTAAAATTCTAGCTAAAAACGCATAGTTAGCTGAGGATACCATTCACTATACTGATAATGTGTTTTTTTTTCTGAAATTCCCTGATTGTAATATTTCAAAATGTTACAAGTGTACAATTTTATGTAATGGTATAAATAATATCGCTATTTTCAAGAATAAAAACCGGTTGAAATTGTAATCGTATGAGTGACTTACTTAACTATGTACTTAAATAAAAGCATAACACTTTATTTTAAATCAAAAGATTATGCACGCACACCACGTATATGTTCAAATTGCGTATGTTTGATTCTTCGATTATCATTCTCTAAATATAAAATAAACAAATGATAGTATAATGTATTTATTCTATCGACCTGAAGCCTAATTATAAGCTACATATCTCACACTGAGAATTAATTCATACATAGTATGGCAACCTAATTCCGAAATTTTTTCAATGTAATCTTTTGTGTAGTATGCGTTCCCGTTCATTTGAACAGGTACTTGACTAGTTTTAGGTAAATAAAGTCTACTGACGGCCTAATCTCAAAGAATATGTGATTGGTAGCTTATTTCCACTCGACCAAGTGTCTTGGTCATATTAAGTATGGTAACGACGTAAACTGCAATCATAAAATGTTCTGGAAAGTGTTTCGATCTTCTGCTTTAGGTAGTCACTAAAGGTCTTGACTATTAGTTAAATGAGCAAAAATTTTCTTAATTCTAAAGTATAAATTTTTGTAAAAATTCCACTTTGGCAACATATGAATTAAAAAACGTTGCGTTGGTTCTAAAGAAAGCGTATCTCTGAAAAGTAGATAGAATTAATGTAGTTACTACAAGGTTTGAGGCTTTTGTTTATTAGTCCTAAAACTGCTATAGATTGGTATTCTTATCACAAAAAATAAGTTTAAATTCTTTCTAACTCGCAATATTTTCTATTCTTAAGGGTAGAAACACTGTCCGTTACGTCTGCTTTATTTTGCAATGCGAATATCTAATCTATATTAGTTTCCTTCATTACTTTCATGTACTGTCTGTAATAATTTTAACACTTCTTCTAAAGACTCTGCTGGTGTAACTAACTAATTACGAGAATTTAG